AAAAATCCATTACTTTTTCTTGTAGTTTCAATGGAACTTATACTCATGTGTGATTTTCAACATCCTGTGTAGGTCATTTGAAAGATACTGATTTACTGAGCTGCACAGATCCTCCCAATGTTAACACATTTCAGTAAACAACATATATTTTTAAAATAACACATGTTAATATCATCCTGAGCTTACTATAACAGTATAAGAATTTAGAAAGCTGTCAAGATCACGGTGCAAGTTTTTCAAAACTCTAATTTTTGCTTGAAAACAAAAATTTATCACTGGTAACAAATAGTTGTTTTCCTCAATGTCACAGCCTCATTTCTTTCTCTTTTGAGAAAATGTCTACCAAATATCCAACTCTGAACAGTATGTCTGCCAGCTGTTCTTTCAAGTAAAGCTGGCCTTCCATGAAAAAAAAGTGTTTAGTCCAGCTTGCAACTCAACTGTATAGTGCTTTTCTCAAGACAAGACATCGTGTCTAGGTGTGCAGCAGCAGGGCTAACATGCCCTTCCTGGGTCTTCATGTCAGATATTTTTCACAGATTCATCAAGGCCTTTCTTCTGCAAAATGGCATTTTTTTCTTTTTGTGTGAGCACAGGGGTGAAGAACACAGTGATGTCTAGTACAACTTCATGCCACTGTCCTGATTTGTGCTAAGGTGTCAGCAGTTCTATTAGTGGAAAAGGCAAATAACATCTTTTTTTTTCTTTTTTTTTTTTTGAGACAGTCTCGCTCTGTCTCCCAGGCTGGAGTGCAGTGGCGCGATCTCAGCTCAGTGCAACCTCTGCCTCCTGCGTTCAAGTGATTCTTGTGCCTCAGCCTCCTGGGTATCTGGGACTACAAGTGCGGGCACCACCACGCTTGGCTAATTTTTGTATTTTTAGTTGAAACGGGGTGTCACCATGTTGGCCAGGCTGGTCTCGAACTCTTGGCCTCAAGCGATCCACCCGCCTCAGGCAAATAACAAAACATTATCAGATGAGTTCTGATGTCATGGACCTTTGAAATGGTCATGGGGACCTACAGAGGTCCAAGAACTACACTTTGAGAATGGCTGTTCTAAGATACCTTCATCCTGAGGCTCTCCATTGATCCAGTGGGAATCTGTAGGAAAGCAACAGGCACAGATGAAAATGAGCATTTAATGGGGTACTCCCATGAAGGGCTTGTCTCAGGGAAAGTTCTCTAAAGATGATTATTATATGAAAAAATTGGTATTAAGCATGATGAAGCGATCCATACATATTCTTAATAATTGGCTTTGTGGTTATAATGCTCTTACTATTAACCAAGTATAAGTAAGCTTTAAAAAAAAATTGAAACATTTTTAATTTTTTTTTTTAGACAAGGCCTTGCTCTGTTGCCCAGGCTAGAATGCAGAGGTGCAAACATGGCCCTCCATGCAGCCTAGATCTCCTGGGCTCAAGTGATCATCCTGCCTCAGTCCACTGAGTAGCTAGGATCACAGGCACATGCCACTAAATTTGGCTAATTTTTAAATTTTTTTGTAAAGATAAGAGTCTCATCCTGTTGCCCAGGCTGGTCTCAACTGATCCTCCTACCTCAGTCTCCCAAAGCACTGCAATTATAGGTGTGAGTCACCACACCCGGCCTGTAAGTAAACTTAATTTTGAATCTTGATTGGGAAAGAGAAAGACTTTTCACCTATAAAACTTACACAAGTTTTCACTTACAAAACTAATTAAGCTACATTAAAATTTTTCTATGTTAGTATTAATAAGAGAAAATTTATCTACAGAAGCCTGAGATCCTATCTAAATTTCAGAAATCTAAGTGGCTCTGGAGGCTGAGGCAAGGGATTGTTTAAGCCCAGCAGCTCAAGAGAGTTTGGGCAACACAGTGAGACCCCATCTTATTTTAAAAAAAGAAAGGAAGGTAGAAATAAAAAAAAAAATCTAAGTAAGACAGCTGGGCGTGGTGGTTCACACCTGAAACTCCAGCATTTTGGGAGGCTGAGGTGGGCGGATCACCTGAGGTCAGGAGTTTGAGACCAGCCTGGCTAACATGGTGAAACCCTGACTGCACTAAAAACACAAAAATTAGCCAAGCATGGTGGCAGGCGCCTGTAATCCCAGCTACTCAGGAGCCTGAGGCAGGAGAATTGCTTGAACCCAGGAGGCACAGATTGCAATGAGCCGAGATCGCACCCCTGAACTCTAGCCTGGGCGATAGAGCAAGGCTCTGTCTCTAAAAAAATAAAAATAAAAATAAAAAAATAAATCTAAGACTTACTTATTCTAATATATCACAAGCAGAATTATGAAAACTCACCAGAATCTAACAAATTCTCACTTTACAAAGTACAGGAAGTGAGGAAATAGTGGCCTACCAAATTGGAAATCACAGACTCATTTCAGATGTGCCAAATACTGTGACCATAAAAGCAGAATTTGATTCTAAAGATGAACACTGAGAAGGTAAAAACTGCATACAGGACTTGATTCTGACTGGCATGAAAGTTCAACAATTAACATACTAGTATTTGTTAATAATCATCAAGCATCTGTATATCTATGCTATTTTAGATGATTTTCTAGCCATTAAAACTTTTTTTTTTTTTTTTTTTTTTGAGACAGAGTCTGACTTTATCGGCCAAACTGGAGTGCAATGGTGTGATCTTGGCTCACTGCAACTTCTGTCTCCCGGTTTCAAGTAATTATCTTGCCTCAGTCTCCTGAGTAGCTGGGATTACAGGTGCCCGCCATCACGGCTGGCTGATTTTTGGATATTAATAGAGACAGGGTTTCACCATGTTGGCCAGGCTGGTCTTAAATTCTTGACCTCAGGTGACCCGCCCGCCTCGGCCTCCCAAAGTGCTGGGATTACAGGGGTGAGCCACCATGCCCGGTCATCATTAAAACTTTTAATCTGGGGGCTGCCAAATATTTTCTTTAAAGGTCAAAGAGTAAATATTTTAAATTGTGTAGGCTATACTGTCTCTGTCACAACTGCTCATTTACACCTGTGTAGGGTGAAAGCAGCTGTGTATAATACACAAATAAATGGGTGTGTTCCAATAAAACTGTGTTTTAATAAAACTTTAATTAACAAAAACACAGTGGGCTATAGTTTCCTTATCTGTTTAACAAATAAACCTTTGTGTAGAGTGCAACAATTTGCTTATAGAAAAGAATCTCAAAATATGTATTTTGAAAATACCTAAAAAAAAAAAAAAGAAGTGTTAGGGATATTTAAATATTTACGCCAAACTAGTCTTTGTACTCTGAAACCAAAAAAGAAGTTGAGAAGCCTCATCACCGCTGCCCATGAACCTAATTTAGAAAATCAGTCATATTAAGCTCATTAAAAATCCAACAGATTGGGATATAGACATATGTGTAGCTGAAGAGTTGATTTAATCCTGCGAGTTTTAGGGAAGTGTTGCATTCTTTGGTGCTCATTACCAAATACTTATGTTCCTTTGCACTTGTGTACTAAATAAAGTGCTGGACAGTGAATTATCTTCTAACATCCCCACCCAAGAGGTAGGGAATACAAATAGTCATTTTGCAAATGAGGAATGTGAGATTTGGAGTAGGTAGGTGACCTGCTCAGTCATCAGAAAGTAAATAGCAGACCCCCATGTGAATGAATCCACTTGACTTCAAGGCCTGAGAAGTTAATGATAAGATTCTCCTGACTCTCAGTACTGGACTATTCTGCAGTAGTAAACAAATTTAAAAATAGGCAAACTTGTAAACAGAACATGGAGGGCCTCAGATGCTGGGATGTGGGGTACATGTTTGTTTTTTCCTGTGGGTAACTAAGGATTTCCTGTTGTTGTTAAGCTGGGAATGACAGAGAAACATCAGGTGTTCCCACTGCCTCGTTCAATGTAACACCCATCAGACAGGTATGTGCTTCTTCTCTGGGCCTTGGTCCTTCTCTCTGTAGAGGGGGCTGGTCTGAGGCACCCTCTGTCTCTAAACATCTGCATAATTGTGTTAATCACTTATTTTCACTTTCAATGTATGTTTAATGTTACAGAGTTCAAAATGACGACCAAGAAAATAAAGGTTTTCAGCCTTCAAGATAAAAAAAATTGGTATATTTAAACAGTACTTTGTCTTATCAAATTTCTGAATACTTTTCATAAAGAAAATGAATTATCAAAGTTTCTTAATATATTTTTTAACTAATCAAATATCAAATGGTGGCAGTTAATAACTACTAACTACAAAAAATCCTATTATCTATTAACTTTCGAGAAAAAGAACAGAATTGGAGTATTCATGGCAAGTAACCCAGTGTGTGAAAATAGCATCCTATCAAAAGCCAATGGTATATAAAGACTTATTAATCTAGGGAAAGTGTCACTCTGTCTAAAACCCCCAGCCATGGCATGGCCCAGCAACTGTAAAAGGGCTGGGCTGACCTCTCTGAGGCAGGAGAGGGCACCAGTAAAGGATATGAACATAAGTGGGCAAGTAGGGTCTAAGGATGCTGCTGGAAGATCTTATTAAGGAAACAAAAGCAACTGCAATGTGCTCTCTTTCCCAACAAACAACCCAGCCACCAGCTACGAAAAGAAAAAGGCAAAAAATGTGCAGAGTTCTCAACAAAACCAAACAAAGGAATATGGTCAGGTGGAAACAGACTCATTTTTAAACAAAGCAAAATGCAAAGCATCTGTGACCTAGTTTGGTATTTTAATCCAGACTTGATCATTAGGGAGATCTCTGACAACCAACAAAGGAAAAACCTCCTCCAAGTTAGGGCAGCATAGGAAAAGCATTTTAAGATGACATCTAATCCAACTGCTCATGGCTTCAAAGAACCCCTACTTGAAATACAAATGAGGAAAGTGAGTGCACATGAGGGTAATAAGAGAAGCAAAAAGGAAACAATTAGTTGGTGTTATAACTATTACTCTTAGAATAACCTGATATTTGATTTTCTCCTCATAGAAAACAGCTGCCTAATTGTAAATCTCAAAAGTTAGTAAAAGCAACCCCAAAGTTGGGGTGGGGACTGTAGCTACCTTGGGTGGCGCTTCATCAGACCCTCCGGAGTCCCAGGACACTGTGGCCTGTCTTCTGGACTCCATCCTCATGCGTTCTTCTTGCTGAACCTTCTCTTCCTCCAGGATTGTGCTAGAGAGACAACACATTGTCTTAGGGGAGCTGACAACCCAGAGTTAGCACACACGAGACCCCACCCTGAGTTATCTAAGGAACACCAGTTGGCTAACAGTACATGATAACAATAAAGAAAGGATCCTATACACAGGGGAAAGAAGGATCAGGTTTCTAAGTCTTCACGAAATGATTCTAGAATAGCCTTGGTCCAAATGGGCAAGTCCATTTAAAGCACAGCCATAGGTAAGAAAAAGACAGCTGGTAAGAAAAAGAAGTTGCAGAAAATGAAGGACGGGCCAAGATGAAATGTTTGCAAGCCAAAGTTGATCTTGAGAAGAAAAGAATTCCTCTGAGAAATCCCACGCAGCACTTTATCAAGCATATACATGTCTGAGGACAGATTCTTTTCACACATAATGTGATCACACCAGCACTTACGTGATCAATTAGCAATCTGGCCAATAATCTCCCTAAATTGCTCAATACAATCTTCCTATCGTTCAGCTTAACCAGTGCTTTATCTGATCATGAAAATAAGCAAAAACACGACAGTATTTACAAGTGCTTCTGAAAATACTCCTTGCTTTAAGCTGGAAACCCCATAGTTGGTAACACTGCTACTTACCACTGCTTGACTACTCAGAAGCTATCTGAAGTCCCATATAATGCTGCAGCCGCTGGAGCCTCTGCAGCGACTGCTAGGCAGCTTCTTCATCTTGGCTGTTTGCCATCACATAAACCCCTCAGAATGCAGCCAAAGCGAGACTTTGCTAGTTTCCCATTCCATGCAGATGCCGCAGGGCTCAGCAGGCAGCAGTCTGAAACCCTTGTCTTAACTGTGGCAAACAGCTCTTCCTACATTCCTACAACTCTAGAGTTCTAATAATGACACTCATTCAAAGTTTCTAGGCTCCTGGTAGATAGTATGCAGTAAACAACCACCCAGAAATTACTCAGGAAAGAGTGACATCAGTGCACCAGACTTTCTAATCTGGGAATTTGCTGTTTAAAAAGACATTCCTGCTTGGCTGGAGGCTAAGAGTGTGCTGTTTCTCACACAACTCAACTTACACAGTCACCTTCTGAGTCAGGAAAAGAGACAAAATTCATTTCATAACTGCCCCAAGTCAGCAAACCATCACTACAGATGTTAAGACTTTTTTCATCCCCAAAACAAAAGGGAATATCTGCCTCAAGAAATGATCATATCAGGGCCGCGTGCAGTGGCTCACATCTGTAATCCCAGAACTTTGGGAGGCCGAGGTGGGCAGATCATGAGGTCAGGAGTTCAAGACCAGCCTGGCCAAAATAGTGAAACACCGTCTCTACTAAAAATACAAAAATGAGCCGGGTGTGGTGGTGCATGCCTGTAGTTCCAGCCACTCGGGAGGCTGAGGCAGGAGAATTGCCTGAACCTGGGAGGCGGAGGTTGTGGTGAGCCGAGATCGCGCCACTGCACTCCAGCCTGGGCAACAGAATGAGACTCCACCTCAAAAAAAAAAAAAAAAAAAAAAAAAAAAAAAAAAAAAAAAAAAAAAATCACATAGGCATTTTACATAAAAAGCTTTTAGTCAAAAGTCCCACTCCATTCTCAAGATATGGTTTTGGTTTCTTTCTTGCTCCAGTTAGATGATCGTGGCTCAGCAAAACCACAAAACTTTTCACAGTATTTAAGAACTGTGCAGCAGCCTTGACAGACAGGCAAGATGCTCATTGGGTGCCAGCACTGTTGGGAACCTGGTCCCATGTACCAGGCCCAGATGACTCCTGGTGAGTGGTGCAGGGAAGTTTGGGGCCAGGTCTGGGGAAGGAGCACAGGGGTCCTGAGAGGGCCACTCTCTCTGCCCTGCCCCTCTGATCAGAAGAACGCTCCCCTCAGCTGCTGGGAGGATTAAGGGAGATCATGGCTGTGAGAGCATCTGCTATAAGCATTACTTGTCATCAGTGGGTATTTCTAATGGCATTTACTTGAGGGCTGCTCATTCAGCAAGTATTTGCTAACTTTGCTAATTTGCTCTGTGCAAGAGGCACGTGACGAGGTCTTTGAGGTGCTTTGTCTAAGAGAAAAGAAATACTCAAAACCTTGAAACAGGGTCAGGCAAGTTGGCTTATGCCTGTAATCCCAGCATTCTGGGAGGCTGAGGTGGGAGGATCATTTGAGTATGGGAGGTGGAGGCTGCAGTCAGTCAAAATAGCACCACTGCACTCCAGTCTGGGTGACAGAGCGAGACTTGTCTCCAAAATAAATAAATGAATACATACATACATACAATAACAACAACAACAAAACACACTGAAACAGGACATGAGTGTTGTGACTGAGCAGTAGAGAAGAGCTTGGCCTGGTGCGTTCTAGCTGCAGAACTCAGCGGGAGAGGGCACTGCCCCAGGCACTGGGGGTGGTTAGGGAGGAAGAGTCCCAGCGTCTCAGCAGGTAACAGTTATAGACTCATACCAAGCACATAATGTTTGTGTACTTTTGGTCATGTAACGAGCATTACATGTCCAAAGCATAGCAATGGTTTCTGTCCATTTCTTATGTGAAAACAAACACCTTTATATTTCAATTTTCCTTATATATTTTATGACTTAAACACCTTTTGTTATACTTTGAATGAAACAGTGCCTGCACATAGCTGACACTTAAATATTTGCTAAATGAACAAATACTGTATATGGATAAAATACATGCATTATCATTACCTATTAGATGTTTAACTAAGCTGAGTAAATTCAGGGATCATTAGTGGTTAAAAAAAAAAAACTGAATGGGAAAACAATAAGGCTCAATCAAACTCAAGGAGTTTGAGTCACACGGAGATCAGGTTTAAATTCTGCCACAGACAGACCATGGACAACTCTGTCCCTCCAAGCCTCATCCACAAAATGGGGTGCCTCCCTATCTACCTATCTTGAAGGGTTGTTGTGAAGAAGATCTAAATGAAAATTAGACAGCTTATGTGACGAGCTCCGAAATGCAAGAGACTTTTAAAAATCGAAAGAACTATTAGAAATTCCCCATCAGATAATATCCTGTGTAGCTAATGGCTACCATTCCCACAAAGAGCTATGAGTCTTTTTCTTTTCTTTCTTTTTTGTTTTTGGGGCGGAGTCTTGCTCTGTTGAATGGGCTGAAGTGCAGTGGCACTCACTGCAACCTTTACCTGCCAGGTTCAAGCAATTCTCCTGCCTCAATCTCCCAAGTAGCTGGGACTACAGGTGCACGTGCCACCATGCCTGGCTAATTTTTTGTATTTTTAGTAGAGATGGGATTTTACCATGTTGGCCAGGCTGGTCTCGAACTCCTGACCTCAAGTGATCCGCCTGCCTTGGCCTTCCAAAGTGCTGGGATTACAGACATGAGCCACCACGCCTGGCCTCCTACCTTTATTTATTTATTTGTTTATTTTTTATTTTTTAAAAAAGAGATGGAGTGATACTATGTTGCTCAGGCTGGTCCTGAACTCCTGGGCTCCAGAGTAGCTGGGATTACAGGCTTACACTATACGCCTGTGCAAATATTTCAAATGAGTTAAAATCCAAGTTGAGCTTGAGATACAAAGGAGCAACCATGTCTTTTTATAAATTCATCGAATTACCTATGAAGTGTTAGCAATACAACTATTAAGACCGGCCATCAATCAAACCAACGGATCAACAATATGCCTGCTAAAACAGTCACTGATATACAATGCCTTTGAACTTGACAAATGTAAAGACGTTACAACTATAAGGAATAGGAGTTGATACTTTGGTATGAGCTAATATAGCTTCACCCAGTCCTGAACATTTACCAACGAAAACGTGGGGAGCTATATCTTAACTTTCTAGGTTGTAAAACACCAGTAAATCCATACCTCAAAAGGCTGCTAATGGAGTTAAAAATACGTATTTTTTTTTAGAGTTGGGGCATGTGCACACATGGTGGGAACTACCATTGCTTTTAAAAGTGAAGTGATTAATCTCGCTTCACTTCCCTTTTTCCTCACCTATAGCCCTTCTTCCTTTAAGTCCTGGCAAGTTCTCTGAACTCATGATGCTCTCCCATGCCTCTTTATGTTGTGTCTCTTGCCTGGAACACCTTTCTCTTCTTTCTCTGGCCAACTCTTACTTGTATTTCAAGTGTCAAATAGCAGTTCCTGCAGAAAAATCTTCCCTGAAGCTCCCTCCTCCCTTTAGGCGAAGTTACATTACTCTCCTTACTCTTTTCCAAAGAAACTAGTGCCTAACTTGCTCTTAACTCTTGCCAAAAGACATTGTAAATATCTGTTTGTTTGACTTTTGCTCCCATTAGGCCAAGAGTTGTTACCTGAAGGCCCACTTTCAAATGCTCAGAATTAGTACTGACCCTGAAGCATAATATGAATTAATAAATGACAGGTAAATGGATGAATAAAGCCCTATCAGTGGAGCAAGTCTACTGACTAGTCAAGAAGAGCACATTATCAAGCTTCCTGTTCTTTTCAAATTTAGTTTCATTTTTATAGAGACAGGGTTTCGCTATTATTGCCCAGGCTGGTCTCAAACTCCCGGGCTCAAGTGATCCTCCTGCCTTGGCCTCCCAAAGTGCTGGGATTATAGGTGTGAGCCACTGTGCCTGGCCAATTTCTTTTTTCTTTTTTTGAGACAGGGTCTAACTCTGTAGCCCAGACTGGAGTTCAGCGGCGCGATCACTCCTGAACTCAAGTAATCCTCCCACCTCAGCTCTCCGAGTAGCTGGGACTACAGGTGCATCACCAGGCCTGGCGGATTCTTTTTTATTTTTTTGTAACAATTAAATAATAAATAAAAATCTCACTGTGTTGCCTAGGCTGGTCTTGAACTCCGGGACTGGAGTGATCCTCCCACCTCAGACTCTCAAAGTATTGGGATTACAGATGTGAGCCACCATGCCTAGCCCCTGTTCTCTCAACTGGCCAAACAGGAAAGGACCTGCAGGCAGCTTTCCTCAAGATGGTCACTGGGAGCAGGGGACCGGTCAGAGACCAGGAACAAAGAAGGCCTAGCTGGCCTGA